ATTTCATTCTGGAGCAAATTCGCGATGCGTGCCACAACCGCATACATTGATCTGCACTCTCCCTATCACTCAACCCCAAACTCAGAGGTTCAAGCAGAAATCCAAACTACTTCATGCTGATGTCATTGATGAAAGTTGCACTCAGCGATTAATGAAGCCTACCTGTCCCTTCCAATTCCATTTCATCCAAGTAAAATTTTAGATCTTGACGATATGCGGTTGAAACCGTTGAGCGCCATGGATTGGCGTTGGCCGTGTTCAGTTTGTTTATATAGAAGCTTACGTTTTATAAATTCCAATCCAACTCTTAAACTATATATAGCTCGGTGTAACCCTTTGTGCAGTACTTACCAGGTTTCTCTTCGATGCCACCGTGGAAAAACGATTCTTTTCCTCGCATTCACAGGAAGCAAACAACCCACCACTGCCCAACATTGAACACTCATCTGCTGCGTTGCTGAAGAGAAATTTGTTGAGCACACAATCGTGTGGTCTGTTGCAAATACCATACACACCAGACTGCGTCCGTGTCATCCCAGAAGCAATCAAAGTGTGTAAACAGCACCAGACTTAAAAATGAAAGAGCATCCTTTCCATACGTCGTGGACAGTCAATCAATCTAATCCGCTGCTTGTCTTACTACAATGTGCCGTTTACTTTTGATCCCGTTTCACGTTGTTGAAACGCTTTTTCCTCACCGGTGGCTCTGTCCTTGTTAGTCCAATGAGGGCGGTACGCATCCCTATCATCCCACTCTGATCCACCAGGTATGACTAACTTTTATGACCCATGAGTGTACAACATTTGTTCGATCCACGACACAAATCAACATACTTTTCCAACCAGTCAGCATTGCCTTCTTTCAAAAAAATCCGGGTGTCACGATTTTCACTTAGAGAATATTACAACTAACTGCAAACACGTGAATCCAGAGAATAACACTTTCTTTGGTTTGAGATGTTCTTCTTCCGAGGCATAGTATTAATTCACAAACGTGCCTCGTGTGGCAGAGAGTCTTTGTTATGGGTGTGAAGCGCAATGCCACACTTTGTTTGATCGCAACAAATAATGGTATAAGCAAATTTAAATAAAGTGGGTTTTACTTGTCCATCGCACTCAGTTTCAGTTTAAACAACCATTAAGCATGCGTTTCCGTGCGACGCTTTTGGTTGTCCATTTGGGTGAACAATAGGAGGAAAACGGGAAAGGTTGAAGGTAGGATCAAAGAGAAAATTGGAAAGTTCAGTGGACGGATGAAGCAGAAAAATTGAGATGCGCGAACGCCACTGTTTACGACACCCAGTCATATCACTCAGTATGTCTAATCATCGGTTACGACCATCCCGAGGTCCCCAGCCAGGGAGCCTAACCCAGGCTCCTGATTAGGGTTTTCACACCTTAATGCCAGGTCTTAGCTTGACCACCCCGGGCTTTATTCCACCCACTACCTACCTGCCTCGGCGAACATCGCTCACTGTGGCAACCTATCTGGTGACATGCGTAACACATGCCCCAACCAGCGTAATCTATGTAGGTTGATCACTTGCCCCAGTGGACGACCGCTGTTGCCTAAGACTTTGTACCTACATTGCTCGTCCGGCTGCCCCACCAGATTCGTGCAGTGCTGCATAGACAGCGAACACCGACAGTCTATCTTTATCCTGTTTCCTTATTGGCCAAGTTTCTGCTCCATATAGCAGAACTGGCCGAACTGATGCGGCATACACTCGACCCTTCACAGACAGCCGGATGTCGCGACGGCGCTACAGATGTATCAGGTTGGCAAATATCAACTCAGCTTTCTGTATGCGAGCTGACAGACACTTCATCTGTGGTGTGTCCACCGGGTGAGATGTAGCTGCCCAGATAACAGAACTTATCCAGTTGCTCTATTCCTTCCCAAGTTAGAGTGAGCCTGGATGTTGGACCAACCCAGTCTTGTAGCAACATTTTACACTTTGAAGGTGCAAAACGCATACCGAACATGGCTACACTGGCATTCAAGCTGTCCAGAAAAGCTTGCAACTTACCTGGATCTTCACTTAGTAGCACAATGTCGTCCGCATACTCTAGATCAGGCAGTCTGCCACCTGCGGGCAAATCGGTGCTACTATCCTCACACGAGGGCTGTTTCAAGAAGTGAATCTATCACGAAGTTAATTAGAAAAGGAGAGAGGGCAACCCTGTCGAACACCACTTTCCGTGGTGAACTCGGGTGAAAACGTGCCGTAAGCTCGGACTCGGCTTCGGCTATGAGTATAGAGGGGTCCATCGAACTGCTTGACTAGATTACAACGCTCTTCTGAAGACCATAATTCATCCCAGATCCGGGTCGCTCGTCAACTAATCGATGATTGAAACGAGTGAAGAAGTACTTCTCACTGGTCGATGCAAGTAAAGCCTGTGTTTCCTCGTTTTGTAAGGGATTGGAAATTTGACGATTCACGTTTCTCCGAACTTCTTGAACTTTGACGGGGTCTCCATAAGAGAAACCCATTTGGAATTGAGGTTTTTTCACCACCATTGAATTTGAATCCGAGTAACTTAGATTTTTTCCTTCTAGAGAAACTGAGACGTGATTGAAGCACATTTTACTCATGCCCACTGTAATGAAACTGAATAACTCATCTACAGTTGTGTAATAGTGTTTGTGTCTTGGGATGAATACAAACAATATATGTGTCCATATGTATGTATGTATGTGAGTATATGTATGTGGTTGATTTTGATCTTGTATTACCAACAAATGTTTGATTGAATCATCCCCTGATCTTCATCTACACTTAAATTAAATTAAAGATCATAGACATAGGGTTTTCGCAATCCGAATCGCTTAGTTGAACTAGACTTCAAAAATGTCAGTCTGAGACCTGTGTCATATGAGTCTCATCTTGGATTAGGAGTGTGGTCTCGTATGGTTTCTGGTAAATTAACCGGATTCACAGTGAATGGTTTGTTTTGAAGTTTGGGAATGAGTGTCCTCTTCCATTAGTGCCAACATATTGGTGACGTGCCGTTTTCTTCTAATTAGTAACTTGGGGGGCAGAAAACACCCGGGTGCTCAATAAGCGATACGACGAACTGACATGTCAAATGTCCTCATGTAAATTATTTGCCTAAAGAATATCGGGGAAACGGATTGCAAAGATTGTCACACTTTCACATTACTCTGAAATTTTTGTTGCGAACGAAAAGAATACCACAATCCGCTAATTTCTTTAAACATCACTTTCACTTCTCAATCGATTCGAAACCAGTATTATAAATCTAGGCCGAACACGTTACATCGTTACTCTTGTAAATCAGGGAAGTGGACTGAGTTTAGTGATAGTGTATTGCCAAAGTTCTATTGACGATTACTGACAAATAAACTAACAATAGTTACTGATTTATCTAATCTAAACATATGGTTTAAGATCAACTAGGAGGAACGGCGAGGAAAAGACACTTTTAAACGCCTAGACTGAACTTGTTATCGAGGTACACATCTAGACACCAGCATGTCAGTGTCCCCGTGAGGACACTCCTGATCCCGTGCAAAAACGAACCGCATGACGTAGGATGGAAGTAGCATCCTCACCTACTTCGACCGATTGGACCGGAAGTGACAAAGTAGATAATATACTAGACTCTTATTGTGTTCAGATCGTGACTTAAAGCCTAACTTCATGCCTGCTATGGGTTGCAGATGATGCATTGCTTCTACATATGTATCCCCCACATTCACTTGCATATCAAGCGTTTATTTCTTCACCGTAATTGCAGAAAATCACAAGTTTTCTTCCTCAGTAGACTGTATTGGATAATAGTTAATATCAAAGATGTGAATACGTTACTTTTTCGAAAAGTTTATCAATTGGGGGGAAGATTCATTTGTTGTGGCAGTGGTCACCGGCTCTATTGGTCCTCAAAATCTATTGAACCCCAAAAACATTTGATCCCTTCCAAAGGGCGTATGATCCGATGAATTTTATACCGTCCCCTAATGTATTGCGTTTTTCACACACCACCGGATAATCGAAGCCTCTGTTTGCTAATTCCCCAGTCAAATTCACCTGCTTTGGCTTTGGCGCTTGGTAGTATCCCGCTCAATAGCAAGCCACAGACCCTTGTCTTTGCTATCTATAATGATCATTTGATATGATTCGTTTGGAACAGTCTGAACTCGGCGGATGGAATTCGGATTTCTCTCATATCCCCGGCTTATTCTTCAGTATAAACTGTTTATGTGGTTGTAATTCTACGTATAACCATAGAACTAAAACTTTGTTAGCCAATACGCGTAAACAATCTAAACTATGAGTTGAACTTTATAGTCCTTAGTAATATTGAATGGGAACACTGGTAGTAATCACATTACATTTCTTACAATCCAGGTAATTTTCCTCGAGGTGGTACCG